TCTCCAGGTCCCCGAGGCGCCCGCCGAGTCCCCCGCACCTGGGTCTGCAGCGCGCGGCTGCCACCGTGCAGGTCGCCGAGCAACGACAGAGAGCAGGCACTTTTCACTGCCGGCCTCTGTTTATATCCAATTTTGAGTCCCAAGCGTTGTCTTTCTGTCCCAGCGTCTGTTTACAGCTCTCCTCTAAACCCTCCCAGGCTCCACTCTTCCATAAACCCAGCCAACGGCCACATCCTTCTAGCGCCTATTTCCGTTTAAGTGTTCCCGCCCCCATTGAACCGTCCCTCCCATTGATTCTCAGGCTGCCTTCCCCATGGCTGCAGCTGTCAGGCTGCCCTGGACCCGCTCTGCACAGACTCCACACATGCTTGCTGCAGCCTAGACCAGAGCTGCATCCGGGAGGACGCTGCACCCCGGGATCTGACCCCACAGTGAGTTCTGAAACCTTCAGAGAAAAGACAGGCAGCCTAACCCCGACTTGACTACCAGACTCCCTGGCTACATACTTAACACCTAACATAACGGGCTAAATTCAGATGCTAGCATCCCATGCCTAACAGAAACATCACAAGCCAAAACCAAATACTGAAGTTTTGCCTTGGGGAGAGACATTTCTGGAACTTGGATTTTGAAAACAAATAGGTGTCTATAGGAATCAGTAGTCAGCCCATTGCTAACGGCCCAGGGATGAGTTCATCTAGTGCTGTATGGCTCTCACCACTACATACATAGTGATCTTGTTACTTTACTACCTCAATCAAGTTTTTTTCTGTGACTACTGCTATAGATACTTTTACATAAAACATAGGAAAAACATTTAATGCAGTGGTGAATTCGGAGACTGTTGGCTGTCCCAGAAGCATGAATTAAGCAAGGTGTGTGGTCCCAGCCCTAAAGGGTCAGTTATAACATCCCATCTATGGTTCCGGGAACACTGAGGAAGAGGAGGAGGAAAGGAGTAAGAAGGGAGGAGGACGGGCTCAGACACGCCATTCTCTAGACTCCACACAGCTGCTGTGATCAGTAACCAACAGCAACGGTACTGACCTGCACTGACCTCACACTAGAACGCAGTCAGTCTAGGAAAGGGAAAGGCTCACAGGGCCCCACCCTTAACCTCTCAAATGTTGTATATGGATGGATTGTAGGAGGAGAATCTCTGCCTTTAGCTGCAGTCCTCTGCTGAGCCCAGCAGGCTCCAACACACAGCTCCAAACCCGCAGTCTCACAGATGGCCCTGGTCAATCTCAGTGGATCTCAAAGCTAAATGAATGAAGATGCACACAATAGACTTTTGTTGGCAATTTTGGAATAGAATAGCAGAGAGGTAGAAAGTGAGAATGGATAGTATTGACGCAGACACATACACACACTCATATGCACACACACACACATATACACATCTATATATATACATATGTATATGGGTATATATTTGGGATTTTTACGAATGACTTACAGTCTGCTAATCCAACAATGGCTAGCTGTGAACAAAAAGTGCTACAATCTAGTAGTTCCTCAGTTCACAAACATGGATGTCTCAGCTGGTCTTCAGTATATGCTGGAATTCCAAAAAAAGTAGGCTTCAATGCCAGTAAAGGGATGGATGTGGTAAAAAGGCTAGCAGAAACTTCAGTCTTCTAGGCTCTTATATAGGCTTCCAGCAGAAGGAGGGTCACAGATTAAAGGAGTGTCTTCCAGCCTCATGGTCATTTTCAGAGGCGTGGGTCCTCCCACCTCTAGATATGAATTAAAGGCATGTTCTACCTCTAAGGACTGGACTAGGAGTGAATCCACCCAATTCAATCCATGGAAAATACCTCTCACAGGTGTGCCCTCCATTTCAGGATTGTGGTTCGTTCCTGATGTTGAAAATCTGACAACCAAGAGTAGCCATGACAAGTCACCCCTTGTCAGCTTGAAGCACAATCACTCCTTGTGGCATGAATAATTTCCAATTGCAAACAATAAACAGGTCACAATAAAACCTAAACATTATAGTATACCAAATAGAATCACAAATTTGTCATATATTTAACCATGTTATAATTACACCTAACATGATATAGCTCAGCTCTAGTACAAGCACAAAAACGTTTGAAATTTAGAATAGGTGTCACCATCTCTTGTGGAACAGGACTTTAACATCATGAATTTAAGTATGGCAACCATTGATATCCTCTTAATTGATGTTACACCACTTGATAAAGATAATGAGAGAAAACACAAGTATCTGTACAAAAACATTCTTAAGAATGTTACCAACTGTAATCTTCTCTTCTTTTATTGGTCAAATGGCTTAAGAAGAATTTATAACTACTTTCCCCTACAACTCATTCTGTATTTTCTCCAGGTCTTAGCTCCTTTCCTGGAAGGATGCACATCCCTTCCTTCCTGATGGGTCCGTGCCCTGTATCATCCCTCCTCGATTAGGCGGTTGTAGTTTCCCATTGATTTTAATAACAGGATATGGTAGCACTAAGAGATACCCTAAAGAAACTCCTGAACTGCAGATGCAATCCTTCTTCCTGCGTTGCATAGAGACAATCTAATTTCCCCATAGTAATGCGGCTCAATCACCCCTCCTAACACTGTTAGGAATCCTTGTTTGTTGTAGGTGGAGTTTCAGAGTTTCAAAAGTTGCTCCCAAATAAACATAAAGTGGCTAAATATTAATTATAAATGCTCGCCCAAACCTCAGACTTGCTACTAGCTGAGTCTTATATTTTACATTAACGGATCTTCTTATCTATGTTCTACTACTTGGCTTGGAAACTTTTCCCAGTAAGGCAAGTTCATCTTCTCTCCCCATCTCCTCCAGATTTGGAGAGAATCCTCCCCTTCTTCATGCTCTCTTTTTTTCTGCAAGTCCCACCTAAACTCTACCTGTCCAGCTATTGGGAAGGCACCTTCTTGTTTTTATTTCAAATTGTATTTTTCATTTTACAAACCAATCCCAGTTTCCCCTCCCTCTACTTCTCACAGACCTCCATGTTACTCCTATCCTATCTGCCATCCATTCTTGAGAGGGGCAAGATCTCCCTTGGAGACTCAACACAGTCTGGCTTACCAAGATGAGGCAGGACCAAGTTCCTGTCCACTTTATCAAGGCTGAGCAAAGTATCCCACCATAGGGAATGGGCTCTAAAATGCTAGGTCATGCACCCAGGTTAGGTCCTGATCCCACTGCCAGGTCCCCCTGCAACAGATCAAGCCACATGACTGTCACCCAAACTCAGAGGGTGTAGTTCAGCCCTGTGCAGGTTCCATAGCTGTCAGTCTTGAGCTCCCACTAGCTCGGTCTGCTGTCTCTGGGGTTTTTCCCTCCGAGATCTTGACCGCACTTGTTCATATGATCCCTCCTCCCTCTCTTCAGCTGAACTCTAGGGGCTCAGCCCAGTGCTTGCCTGTGAGTCACTGGATAAGCTTCTATAATTATCTGGATACAGGTTCTAAGGTGAAAATTAGGGTAGTCCCTAACTTGATTAGAGGGGCAAGGCCCATTCATGCACACTCTACACTGTGGCTAGGAGTCTTAGCTGGGGTCATCCTTGTGGATTCCTGAGAAATTTTCTAACACCAAGTTTCTCCCTAAGGCTATATATATATATATTTAACTTTTTACACATATTACACTCAGTTCCCTTTCCTTCCCCCGGCCCCCCCATTCCTCCCAACCCCCCATCTCACTCCATCTGACTTCAGCTCCCCAGGGAGGGTAACACCTTCCATGAAGGATTTTCAGAGTCTGTCTTATAATCCTGGGTAGGACCTAGGTCCTCCCTCATGTGTCCAGGCTAAGAGGGCATCCCTCCATGTGGAACGGGTTCCCAGAGTCCATTTGTATGCCAGGGATAAATACTGATCTACTCTCCAAGGTCCCATAAATTGCTGAGGCCCCTTCTCTGACACCCATCTGGTCTCTCAGTCATCAGTCTGGGGTCCATGTGTTCCCCCCTTGTTTAGGTCAGCTGCCTCTGTGGGTTTTGTCAGCCTGGTCTTGAATCCTTTGATCATCACTCCTCTTAGCAAGTGGGTTCCAGGAGTTCAGTTTGGTTTTTAGCTGTGGGTGTCTGCCTCTGCTTCCAACAGCCACTGCATGAGGGTTCTAGGATGTCATATAAGGTAGTCATCAATCTCGTTATCAGGGGAGGACATTTAAGGTAGCCTTCTTGATGCCTCACATTCCCATCCCCCCATCCCTTCCCTTATACCGCCCTCCCAGTTTACCCAGGAGGCCTTAACTATTTCCCCTTCCTGGGGCCATCCATGTGTGTCCCTCTTTCTAGGGCAGGTAGCTTCGTTATCAACCCAATCACAGTAACACATGTTCACAAAGAGTAAAAAATATTCCATTATTACCGCTTTCTTAGTCTGTAGGTTTCAGGGCATTAGAAGAGGAATGTGACCTGAGGGAGTCTCTACTTCCATTTCAATAGAATGTTTGTTTCCCCTCTTGGCAGGAATGCTCCCCTGTGTTGAAACAAGATTCCTAGACCAGCAGATCTTAACGTTGAGGGAAGAGGAAGCAAAATTTTCCTGGTGGGTCATTAGGGGTGTTAGCGAGATGATTTATTATTCCCCTTTCCTCTCCCTGGATCCTGGGACACCTGGATCCTCTCTATGGGCGAAACCTTACCATGTAATGGACACAGATTCAAAGCATATACTGCCTTCTGTAGAACCCTGCCACAGACATACAGGCTGCTGCCACCTACCTGGCACTGTTCATGCTTCTTCAAAAGGCCATCCCTTCTTTCTATGAAGCCAACTGCTTCAGGATGAATCTCTCTCTCTCTCTCTGTCTCTCTCTGTCTCTCTCTGTCTCTCTCTCTCTGTCTCTCTCTCTGTCTCTCTCTGTCTCTCTGTCTCTCTGTCTCTCTCTCTCTCTCTCTCTCTCTCGTGTGTGTGGGGGGGGGTGTGGCGCCTGCACTATAACACTTCTCACGGATTCGGTGAGGGGCCTGAGGATTGAAATAAAGACAAGAGACATCAGGTCATTCGTGCAAGGAGAATGCCATTTATTGCAACAAGAGGGTGAGCAGGCACAGTGGAAAACTGCCAACGTCAGAAGTTCACGTTCCCAGGGCCCTCCAGCAATAATGATGGATGGATAACAGGAACGTGCATTCAGGCATTATTGGAAGGAGGGAAACAAGAAGTATTTGCTAAATAAGCTCTTAGTCACAAACTGATCAGAAGATCCCTATAGGGGAAGGGCCCAACGTAAGTACGTGTGTGTGTGTGTGTGTGTGTGTGTGTGTGTGTGTGTGTGTGTACATATAGGGGGTTTATTGGAATGACTAACAGACTGCTATCCAGATAATCCATCAGTGACTAGCTGTGAAGAGAAAATCCAAAAATCCAGCAGGGTGGCCTCATTCCAGGCAAGGCAGGAAGGGCTGAGGCAGTGGAGTTGGGTGAGTCCCTCTGCTACTAAGTCCCTTCCTAGGCTCCTGCAAAGCCAGGGCAGCCTTGCTGCCTCAGGAAGGAACCCAGGGAGTCCAGCAGGGCTAGATGCCCCAACAACGCCCATCTCCTCGATGCCACCTGCCCCTAGTCACCCCTCCTGACCCACATACCCCAACACCCCACCAAAACGGGAAATAAGTCCCAGGGCAGGTGTTTGTATTCGTGCATCTGTACCGTCCTGCCTTAGGGGTTCTGGCAGGATATGCCCATAGATGCAGCCACCAAGAGCACCACCTGTGCACATTCACTGTAAGTTCCCTTTTAAATGGGCCTGGCGTACATGTGATATTTCCCTCTGCTTCTCCTTGGCCTGTCTCTGTCTTCATCTCTCTCCACATCTACCTTCTCTTCTACAGCTCCTGTTCCCACAGCCTGTTTCCCTCTAACCCCCCTCCTTTTCCCCTAATAAAAACCCCTACATACACACTGTTTCTTGTGATGTTCTTCTCTTGAGTGTCGCTTTTTAAAATTGAAATAGTGGAGGGGGAGGGGCAGGTTATGGGTAGGGTCACCCTTGAATTTTTTGTGTGTCCAATTTTGGGACTAGGTAAAGCATCTGTCAAATTAAATGCATTTCTGGGAGGAAATATTCAATAAACAAGAAACCAGGAATTATAAGAATGTGTTTCCATATGGTTGTCCAGAAGCATGAATTTCGTGATGCACAGCAAAGTCAGAGACAAAATTAAATTTTGTCTGCATTGTAATTTTTTGTTTGGAGACATGGTTAAGGTAATCTTTGTTGTCTTGTAACTCACTCTGTACATCAAACTCAGAAAACCCCCTAACCCTGTCTCCTAAATGTGGGATTAAAGGCTTGTACTAAAATGTCTGGCACTGTGATGAATCTTTGGATGCTGAACAAAAGATCAATGTCTTATGACAGTTTTTCCTAGGAGCTGGAGATATCACTTAGTAGTTAAGGATGCTGGCTAATCTTTCAAAGGACATGGGTTCGATTCCTAGCACACACACAGCAGCGCACTATTATCTGGAGCTCCAGCTTTGGGGATTCTGTCTTCTGCCTGCACCAGGACTTCACGGAGTGCATAGTAAAACAAGCAGGGAAAACAGACGTATACAGTAAGAGAAATAAGCTTTTAACACAGTAGCATTGGAAGAACTTTAATTTGGCATAAAGTTTGTGATACTTTCTAAAATTTAAACCTCACTAAAGGTTTTTACAAGTTTCTTATCTTGAAGTTTCTATTATATATACTGTTATTTGAAACAGAGAATACCAGAGAATGGTATGTTATAGTATTTACAATGGTGTTTTTCTCTCTATCTATTAAGACTTGTAATATGGATAAAGGATATGTAAGTCTTGGCATTTATAAGGTTTCTTTCCAGTATGAATATTCTAATATGTTCTAAGATGTTTGCATCTACTAAAATATTTGTCATATTCCTTACAACTCTGAGGTCTCTCTCCAGAATGAACCCGCTGATGTATTATAAAATGTGACATCTTGGTAAAGGACTTGTCACATTCAATACATGTATAAGGTTTCTTCTCAATGTGATCTCTGATGTCTTCTAAGTTGTGCATTCCAGGCAAAGGACTTGTCACATTGCGCACATTTGTAAGGTTTTTCCCCAGTATGAACTCTCTGATGTGTTCTAAGATCTGAATCCCAGATAAAGGACTTGTCACATTCCATACATTTGTAAGATCTCTGTCCAGTATGAACTCTCTGATGTCTTCTAAGATCTGAGCAATAGGTAAAGGATTTGTCACATTCCACACAACTATAAGGTCTCTCTCCAGTATGAACTCTCTGATGTGTTCTAAGAAGTGAGACCTGGGTAAAGGATTTGTCACACTGCTTGCAACTGTAAGGTCTCTCTCCACTATGAACTATCCGATGTCTTTTAAGACCTGAACAACAGGTAAAAGATTTGTCACATTGCTTGCAACTGTAAGGTCTCTCTCCAGTGTGAACTCTCCGATGTCTTCTAAGACCCGAGGAAAAGGTAAAAGATTTGCCACATTCCTGACAATTGTAACGTCTCTCTCCAGTATGAACTCTCTGATGTCTTACAAACTGTGATACCTTGGTAAAGGACTCATCACATTCAATACATGTATAAGGTTTCTCTTCAGTGTGATCACTCTGATGTCTTCTAAGTTGTGCGTTCCAGGTAAAGGACTTGTCACATTGCTTGCAACTGTAAGGTCTCTCTCCAGTATGAACTCTCCGATGTTTTTTAAGATGTGAGTCCTGGGTAAAGGACTTGTGACATTCCATACATTTGTAAGGCCTCTCTCCAGTATGAACTCTCTGATGTCTTTTAGCACGGGAGTCCTGTGTAAAGAACTTGTCACATTTGCTAGATTTGTAAGGTTTCTCCTCAGTGTAAACACTCTGATGTATTCTAACTTGTGAGTTCCAAGTAAAGGACTTGTCACGTTCCATACATGTGTAAGGTTTCTCCACAGTATGAAGGCTATGGTGTATCTTACAACTAGAGTGCTGGGTGAAGGATGTTTCATTAGTGTTGCACTGGCAGGGTTTAATTCCAGTATGAATTTTCTCATGTTCAGTGAGGTAGAAGGCAGTCCTCAAGAATTTCTTACATGTTCCACATTGCTGTGGATTTTCTTCAATGCTGATTGGTTGTTGCAAAAGCCTGTATGCAGAGCTCAAAGAGTCATCACCTTCTTCCTGCCTGTGCTCTTTTTCTGCAGTGTAGACTCTCTGATCTTGAGTGATGTTGGAACACAAATTTACAGATTTCTCACAGTCTTTAGATTGACAAGGTTCTTCTCCAGTGTGCATTCTTTCACGTCTGTCTGGGTTTGATGAGTCAACAGAGGCATCCCTGTGACTACTGCATGTGTAGTTATTAGAGTTTTCTAGAGTTTCATTTGTTCTATGAAGTACACATGTGGAGGGATCATGAAGCACTTTGTCAAGCTCATCACACTGACAAGACTCCTTTTCAGTCTTCACATGGTGATGGACAGGGTCATATATGCAATAGTTCTCTGAAAATGAGAATACTTCAGCTTAGTAGGGCTTGTTCCAATAATAAACATGTGATAAATGACTGTCTCCCTAAGTTGTCATTTAACATAAGTGAGCCTGGAACTACAGAGATTAGAGTTCCCAGTAAGGGACAGTTTTCATTCACTATAATTGGATGGTTTCTCACAAACACAGCATGACAGCCTTCAAAGGTTAGTGAGTTATAACAGATATCTCATCTTTTTCAAAAATCTCTAACTGGAAAAATATATGAAAAATAATTGATGGCCATGAACTAGCTGTAGGATTGAGCTCACTGAGGGATTATATTTAGAACATATGTCTCCATGTATAAATATTTCTTCTCAGAAACTGATGAAGAAGAGTGTAATCCAATCCCAGATTTACAGTCTTTATATTTAGTAATGGATGCAAAGACAATATTCTACCAGACATAATAGACTTTAGCTTGTTTGAGGCAGGGCTGTCATGGGGAGCTGGAGTGATAGTTCAGAGGTTAATAGCACTGACTGATCTTCTAGAGATCTTGAGTTCAATTCCCAGCAACCACATGGTGGCTCACAATCACCCATATTAAGATCTGGTGTCTTCTGGAATGCACTGTGTTTCTTTTTTTGTTTTTTCATTCCAGCAAAACAGCTACATTTTATTTTAACATTTATTTAAATGAAAAAAACTCAGATATGTGAATAAATGGGTCTCTGTGTCTATTTCTTAAACTTTTTATCATATTTATTTTAATTTTAAATAGCTTGTTTTACATGTCAATCCCAGTTCCCTCTCCCTCCCATCCTCCCGCACTCCCCTTCCCCCCCCCCCCCCCCCAGCCTCCCACCCTACTGCCAATTCCTTCCACATAGGGGATATCTAGAGTCTGTCGTTTCACTCCGGGTAGGGTCCAGGCATTCCCCTAAGAGTCCAGGCTGAGAGAGCATCCCTCTTTGTGCTATGGGCACACGATGACTGTTTGTATTCCAGGGACAGACACTGATCCACTGCTCAAGGCCCCATAGGTTACCCAGGCCTTCTCACTGACACTCACATTTGGGGGGGGGGTCCAGATCAGTCCCATGTTAGCCTCCCCGCTGTCAGTCTGGGGTCCAAGAGCTCTCCCTGTTCAGATCAGCTGTCTCTGCTGGTTTTGCCAGCCCATTCTTTGCCAATTTGCTCATCACTCCTCTCTCTCTGCCACTGGGTTCCTTGGGTTCAGTTCAGTGCTTAATTGTGTGTTTGCCTCTGCTTCCATCAGTCACTGGATGAAGGCTCCCAGATGGTTATAGACATCAAGTTAATTATCAGGAATGGGCATTCGAGGTGGTCTCTCCACTATTGCTTAGCTTGCCAATTGGTGTTATCCCTTTAGATCACTAGAGGTCACTCTGGTGCCTGATCTGTCTTCTAACCTATGATTCCCTCTTCCCCCTATTCTACCCCCACCCACTCAACTTCCTGTTCCCCCATGACCAACTCTCTTTCTCTTCTCCCCCTCTCTTCTTCCCAGCTCCCACTCCCCCCCACCATGTTCCCCATCCATTCAGAGGATCTTGTCTCAATCCTCTTCTCTTGGGTACCATGCATATATGCATATCTTTTAGGTTCTTTCCTGTTTCCCAGACTCTCTATCAGTGGAAGTGCAGACTGGCACACACTGTGTTTCTTAACTTTGCTCATAGGGTCATTCTCAGGGCCAGTTTGACTCCTGAGATTATCTCCCAGAGGATGTCTGTGTATTCATCACTGGGAATAAACTGAAGGATGTAATATGAAGATATGCATACAGGGAAGGCAAAAACACAAAATGATACTTCAAAGATCCATGTTAGATTTAAATGGCTGAAAAATTATTCCAGTCCAATTTCAGCACAGTCGAATACAATTGTATTTTGTAGTTATTAAGTCACCTCCTAACAGCTATTACAACAGACAGGATGCATCCTGGGGCCAGGACACTACAGTAAGTTAAATGACCAGGAATCATATCAAGTGGAATTGGATATAAAAAAAGAATACATTCTCAGCTCTTGCTTTCTCTTTCACTTAAAGCCTTCACTGTTCTCTTGCTGATTCACTAGCCCACTCTAGTTGTGGCTACTCCCTTCTCTCTTCTTCCAGGGCAACCTCATTCTTTCCAAACAGGTTATCACGGTTACCTTGCATACAATAATCCACCAGTTCTTTCAGGCAGCTCATTACCCATGCTAGAACTTTCAGAAATAATACAGAAATCTAACACAGTACTTGGCTCAGTATATGAAAACACAAAGCAGAAGAGTTTAAACAAGTTTTCTGGATTGATATTTCTTTTTTCAATTTTTTAAAATTTTATGTATGTTTTTTATTTAAATTAGAAACATGCATGCTTCAAATGTCAATCCCAGCTACCTCTTTCTCCCTCCACCAGCCCCACCCCCATCCCCTTACCCCCAGCCGAATCCCCACATCATTCCCCAGGGAGGGTAAGGCCCTCCTTGGGGGGATCGCCAGAGTCTGTCATTTCATCCAGGGCAGGACCTAGGCCCTTCCCCATGTGTCCAGGCTGAGAGGGCATCCCTCCATGTGGAATGGGCTCCCAAAATTCATCTGTATGCCATGGTGAACACTAATATACTACCCAAAGTGCCAGAGATTTCTGAGTCCTCCTCACTGACACTATATTCATGGGGTCTGGATCAGTCTCCTGTTGGCCTCTTAGTCATCAGTCTGGGGTTCAAGAGCTCCCCCTTGTCCAGCCAGCTGTCTTTGTGGGTTTCACTAGCATGGTCTTGACTGCCTTACTCATCACTCCTCCATCTCTGTTACTGGGTTCCAGGGGGTCAGTTCAGTGTTTAGTTGTGAGTATGTCTCTGCTTCCATCAGTCACAGGATGAAGGTTCTAGGATGTCACATAAGGAAGTCACCACCCTTATCATCAGGTAGGTGCTATTAATGTAGTCTCTCCACTATTACTTAGTTTTCCAGTTGGTGTTATCCTTGTACATCTCTGGAAATCTCACTGGTGTCAGCTCTCTCCTCAAAGCTATAATGACTCCAACTATTAATGTATCTTTCATCCTGGTCTCCTCTATTCTTACCCTGACTCAGCCTTCCTGCTTCCCCATGTCTTCTTCTACCCTCCTCTTATCCCCCTCTCTTTATCCTGGTTCCCTCCCCCCCTCCATGTTCCCAATCTGCTCAGGAGATCTTGCCTCTTTCTACTTCTCTGAGGTATAATGCATATCTCTTGGGAACCTCCCTGTTTCCCAGACTCACTGGCCCTGGGATTGTAGGCTGATACTCCCCTGATCCATGTCTAAAATGGATATGAGTGAGTACATACCATGTTTGTCTTTTTGTGATTGGGTTACCTCACTTAGGATGGTTTCTTCTAGTGCCATCCATTTGCCTGCAAATTTCAAGATTCCGTTGTTTTTTTTCCCACTGAGTAGTACTCCATTGTGTAAATGTACCACACTTTCTCTATCCACTCTTCAGTTGTGGGGCATCTAGGTTGCTTCCAGGATCTAGCTATTACAAATAATGCTGCTGCTATGAACACAGTGGAACAGATATCCTTGTTGTATGAATGGGCATCTTTGGGGTATATGCCTAAGAGTGGAATTGCTGGGTTGTGTGGTAGACTGATTCCCATTTTCTTGAGGAATCTCCATACTGATTTCCAAAGTGGCTGTGCAAGTTGGCACTCCTACCAGCAATGGAGGAGTGTTCCCCTTTCTCCACAATCTCTCCAGCATAAACTGTCATTGGTGTTTTTTATTTTAGACATTCTGACAGGAGTAAGATGATTTCTCAGGGTTACTTTGATTTGCATTTCTCTAATGGCTAAGGATATTGAGCACTTTCTCAAGTGTCTCTTAGCCATTTTAGTCTCCTCTATTGAGAAATCTCTATTTAGTTCAGTTTCCCACTTTTTAATTGTGTCTTTTGGTGTTTTGGAGAATAGCTTCTTGAGTTCTTTGTAAATTTTAGAGATCAGCCCTCTGTCAGATGTGGGGTTTGTGAATATCTTTCCCCAATCTGTGGGCTGCCTTTTTGTCTTGCTGACTGTGTCCTTTGCCTTACAGAAGCTACTCAGTTTCAGGAGGTCCCATTTATTATTTGTCGATCTCAGTGTTTGTGCTACTGGTGTTATGTTCAGGAAGCATTCTCCTGTACCAAGGGTACCTCCCACTTTCTCTTCTAACAGTTTCAGTGTGGCTGGATTTATGTTGAGGTCTTTGATCCATTTGGACTTAAGTTTTGTGCATGGCGATAGATATGGATCTATCTGCAGTCTTCTACAGGCCAATATCCAGTTATGCCAGCACCATTTATTGAAGATGCTTTCTTTTTTCCATTGTATAATTTTAGCTTCTTTATCAAAAATTAGCTGTTCATAGGTTTGTGGATTAATCTCAGAGTGTTCAATTCAATTCCACTGGTCTACCTGACTATTTTTGTGCCAATACCAAGCTGTTTTCAGGACTATAGCTCTATAATAGAACTTGAAGTCAGGAATGGTGATGCCTCCAGATGTTGCTTTGTTGAGCAGTGTTGTCTTGGATATCCTGGGTCTTTTGTTTTGCCATATAAAGTTGAGAATGGTTCTTTCAAAGTCTGTGAAGAATTGTGCAGGGATTTTAATGGGGATTGCATTGAATCTGTAGATTGCTTTTGGCAGGATTGCCATTTTTACTACATTGATCCTACCTATCCAAGAGCATGGGAGATCTTTCCATTTTCTGAGGGCTTCTTTAATTTCTTTCTTTAAAAACTCAAAGTTCTTGTGATACAGGTCTTTCACTTGTTTGGTTAGCGTTACACCAAGGTATTTTATCTTGTGTGTGGCAATTGTAAAGGATGATGTTTCTCTGATTTCTTTCTCAGCCCACTTATCTTCTGTATATAGTAGAGCTACTGGTTTTCTTTAGTTGATCTTGTATCTTGCCACTTTGCTGAAGGTGTTAATCAGCTAATCAGCTGTAAGAGTTCCCTGGTAGAGTTCTTTGGGTCACTTATGTAAACTATCATATCATCTGCAAATAGTGAAAGTTTTGCCTCTTCCTTTCCAATTTGTATCCCCTTGATATCCTTTTGTTGTCTTATTGCTCTAGCTAGGACTTTGAGTACAATATTGAAGAGGTATGGTGAGAAGGGACAGCCTTGTCTTGTTCCTGATTTTAGCAGAATCGCCTTGAGTTTCTGTCCATTTAGTTTGATGTTGGCTGTTGGTTTGCTGTATACAGCTTTTATCATGTTTAGGTATGTTCCTGTTATCCCAGATCTCTCCAAGACCTTTACCATGAAGGGGTGTTGGATTTTGTCAAAGGCTTTTTCTGCATCTAGTGAGATGATCATGTGATCTTTGTTCCTCAGCTTGTTTATATGGTGGATTACATTGATAGATTTTTGAATCATCCCTGCATCCTTGGAATGAAACCTACTTGATCATGGTGGATGAGTTTTCTGATGTGTTCTTGGATCCAATTTGCCAGTATTTTGCATCAATGTTCATGAGCTAAATTGGTCTGAAGTTCTCTTTCTTAGTTGTATCTTTGTGTGGCTTGGGTATCAGTGTTATTGAGCCTCATAAAAAGAGTTTGGCAAAGACCCTTCTGCTTCTATTGCATGGAATACTTTGAGGAGAATTGGTATAAGCTGTTCTTTGAATTTCTGGCAGAATTCTGCACTGAAGTCATCTGGCCCTGGGCTTTTTGTGGTTGGGAGACTTTTGATGACTGCTTCTATTCCCTTAGCTGTTAAAGGTCTATTTAAATTGCTTATCTGTTCTTGATTTAATTTTGGCAGGTGATATCTATCCAGGAAGTCATCTATTTCCTTTAAATTTTCAATTTTGTGGAGTACAGGTTTTCAAAGTATGACCTGATGATTCTCTGGATTTCCTCAGTGTCTGTTGTTATGTCCCCCTTTTCATTTCTGATTTTGTTAATTTGCATGTTCACATTCTGCCATTTGGTGAGTTTGGATAAAGGTTTGACTATCTTGTTGATTTTTCTCAAAGAACCAACTATTTGTTACATTGATTCTTTGTATTATTTTCCTAGTTTCTGCTTTATTGATTTCAGCCCTCAATTTGATTATTTCTTGGTGTCTACTCCTCCTGGGGCAATTTGCTTCTTTGTGTTCTAGAGCTTTCAGCTGTGCTGTTAGTTCTCTAGTATAACTATTCTCCAGTTTCTTCATGTGGGCATTTAGTGTTATGAACTATCCTCTTAGCACTGCTTTCAAAGTGTCCCATAAGTTTGGGTATGTTGTGGCTTCATTCTCATTGAATTCTAGGAAGTCTTTAATTTCTTTTTTTATTTCTTCTTTGACCCAGGCATGGTGCAATAGCACATTATTCAATTTCCATGAGTTTGTAGGGTTCCTGCAGTTTGTGTTGTTGTTGAACTCTAACTTTAAAGCCTGGTGGTCTGATAAGATACATTGAATTATTCCAACTTTTTTGTACCTGTAGAGGTTTGCTATGTTGCCAAGTATGTGGTCAATTTTTGAGAAGGTTTCATGTGGCGCTGAGAAAAAGGTATATTCTTTTTGTTTGGATGGGATGTTCTATAGATGACTGTCAAACCCAATTGGGTCATAAGCTTTATTAGTTCCTTTGTTTCATTGCTAAGTTTCTCTCTTGTAGTCCTGTGTAGTAGTGACAGTGGGGTGTTGAAGTCTCCCACTATTAGTGTGTGATGTTTTGTGTGTGGTTTGAGTTTTAGTAATGTTTCTTTTACAAATGTGTATGCCTTTGTATTTGGGGCATAGATGTTCAGAATCGAAACTTCATCTTGGTGGATTTTTCCTGCGATGAATATGAAATGACCTCCTTCATCTCTTTTGACTGATTTCAATTTAAAGTGTAGTTTGTTAGATATTAGGATTGCTATCCCTGCTTGTTTCTTGGGGCCATTTGATTGGAAAATCTTTTCCCAACCCTTAACTCTGAGGTAATGTCTGTTTTTGAGGCTGAGGTGTATTTCTTGTATGTAGCAGAAGGATAGGTTCTGTCTGGGAATCCATTTTGTCAGCCTGTGCATTTTTATGGGCAAATTGAGACCATTAATATATAGGGATATTAATGACCTTTGATTGCTGGTTATCGTTTGTTTTGGAATGGTTGTTTTTGGTGGAATTGTGTATGGATTTCGATCCCTTTGGTAAAATGGAATTATCTATTTCCTATGTTTTTCTGGTTGTAGTTAACATCTTTGCAGTGGAGTTTCCTTCCAGAACTTTCTATAGGGCTGGATTAATGGATCCGTATTGTTTAATCTGGTTTTGTCATGTAATATCTTGTTTTCTCCATCTATAGTGATTGGAAGCTTTGCTGGGCATAGTATTCTGGGCTGGCATCCATGGTCATTTAGTGCTGATAGAATATCTATCCAGGACCTTCTGGCTGTCAGAGTGTCAATGGAGAAGTCAGGTGTAATTCTTATAGGTTTGCCTTTATATGTTATTTGACGTTTTTCCTTAGCTGCTCTAAGTGTTCTTTCTTTATTTTGTATGCTTGGGGTCTTGATAATTAAGTGGCGAGGGGACTTTTTTGTGATCCACTCTATTTGGTGTTCTGTAAGCTTCTTGTACCTTCATTGGCATGTCTTTCTTTAGGTTGGGAAAGTTTTCTTCTATGATTTTGTTGAATATGTTTTCTATCCCTTTGAGTTGGGTTTCTTCACCTTCTATACCTATCATTCTTAGGTTTGGCCTTTTCACAGTGTCCCATATTTCCTGGATATTTTGTGTTAGCTTTTGTTTGGACTTCAGATTTTCTTTGATTGATGAATCTATTTCTCCTAGTGTGTCTTCAACACCTGAGACTCTCTCTTCCATCTCTTGTATTCTGTTGGTTATGCTTACATCTGTAGTACCTGTCCATTTCCCCAGTTTTTTGATTTCCAGCATTTTTTTATTGTCTCCATGTCAGCTTTCAATCCTTGCATTGTTTGAATTGTTTCTTGTAGTTTTTGCTTCATATTTTCCTCCCTTTCTTCCATTTTTTGGAATTTTTTGTTTGTTTTTTCTTCATTTCTTTAAGGGATTTTCTCACATCCTCTTTGAGGGCCTCTATCATTTTCAAGAAGGTATTTTTAAGGTCATTCCCTTCTGCTTCATCTGCATTGGGGTGTTCAGGTCTTACTGGTGTAGAATCTCTAGACTCTGGTGGTGTCATATTTGTTTTTCTGTTGTTGACTGTGTTCTTATATTGCCTTTTCCCCATCACTCCTCCCAGTGGGTGTAGAAAGAGTCTCTTCCTCTCCTGATGGGTAGGCGACCACAATTCCCTTTCAGTGGCTGCAAGCAAATCCAATACTCTCTGGTCTCTGCTCTCTGCCCTCTGCCCTGGGTTTGGGTGGAAGTGGAGTAGCTCTCTTTGCAGGCTCCTGGTCGCTTGGTCGTCCTTCCAGGGGTAGTCCATCTGGTTGCTGTCCCCAAGCCAGGGGATCCGAGAGAGGGCAAGCGGGAGAAAATCGGGTCTAAGATGGGGACCCAGTGCTCACCTCTCTGGGTTGATATTTCTTGTCAAATTCCTCAGTATATTTAGTATTTTCCGTGTTATTTATCTTGAATTTTTCTCACAATTAAAAACATGAAAATTTCTATAAAGGACATGGAGCTTTAAGATATGAGTGAAAATATTATTTGCTACTGAGTCTATGGATGAATCATGTAACCTGAATAAAATGTGGAATGCAAATTGTAAAGAGAAACCTAAATAGCATGAAAATTTCTTCCAAACTACTAAATTTGCCCTGTCTCCTGTTTGTTTTTTCTGGACAGCTTAACAGATTTTACAATCTATGAAGTTAAAACACACAACCTATGCTGGGAATTCAACAAGCAAAATATTCTCACCCACAAAGACAAGGTTGTTGTAATTCTCCAACATCACATCAATGCACAAAGCCCTCTGAGCAGAGTCCAGGCATTCCCACTCCTCCTGGGAGAAGTCCACAGCTACATCCCTGAATGTCAGCAGACCCTGAAATAAAAAAGTATGGTTTGACCAAGAGCTACTTGGGTGTCCTTTCCTGGACAGAAGGAGACATAAGGTAGAAGAGTTAAGATAATTACACAAAAATAGGATTTCTCAATACAGTCACATTCTATCATGAATGATCTAACTGTAAAAACAGGATGAAACAACAGTCTTACAAGCAGTGTATAGGAAACAAGAAATACAGGTAAGATCTAAACATGGTTATCTATCTGTTATGAATGTGGTGTTTATGTCACATAGGATCACACTGTACATGACTCAGCTTTAAATGCTCTACCTGTAGATGATGCTAAAACACTGACACATATCAATCCTGTCCGTAAATGTGCCGTACATGACTCTATTCTAACAAACTTAGTTGGGGTTTTTAAACTCTAGGTCCAATGGCACACCATTAATTGGGAAAGAGGAAGGTATAGAAGGCAGAATATGACTGATTTTATAGAGAAGAGTTTGGTTTTTTCCACAGTAGCAAGGATTGTAACAGCACTACATACTGTCAATTTTAACATTGACATTTAAGGTAAGTAGCCTATGGAGTTCATTTTATGACAATATTTGGGCCAGTATGAACAGAAAAAAATCTGCATCAGCCATATTTGATTAAATTCAAAAATTCCCTAAGAACTTGCAAAAGCCAACAGACAAATTACAAATTTCACAAGTTTTTTAAGGGTATTTCACTTCATTCACAAACAGTAATAAAAACTGAAATATATAAAAAATGTTTAAGGTATTGGTAAGAGAATCCATACCAGTGAAACTTTGCTAATAGCAAAAATTTACCAAAAATTACATTAATTTAGTATCAAGGAAATAAAATTGCAAATCAAGAAATGGGATAAACAGGCACTTTTCAAAGACAAAAACTCTATTCATCAATAAACATTGAAAAGTGCTCAGGATCGCAAAAAGGCCACCATGGAAACACAAATTAAAACTACTTAGAAATGCTGCCTTGCCTGAGACAGAATGGGTGTCATCAACTAAACTGACAATAAACATGAGGCCTTAGAGGGAGAGAAAGGAAGCCTTATTCACAGTCCATGGAGGGGAGGGTGTAAATTAATACAGCTATTGTGGGAATCGGTTAGAAGATTACTGAAAAAAACTAAAGAGAGAACTAACATATGAGTCAGCCCTTTCACTCCTGGCCATATCCCCAAAGAAAAACACACCCCACTACAGAGATATTTATACCACATCTTTACTGCTGTTTCTATCATGAAAGGGAAAGTACTATTATCAAAGCTTTATCAACAGATATTATGTATTATGAAAACTGTATAAAACTGGGTACAATTCAGCTAAACAGAAAAAAATTAAAAATTAGCAGGAAAATCGACAGACCCAAAATGTTTAATATTAAGTGCAGTCATACACTTTTAGAAAGAAGACACCATGTTTTTGCTCACCTGCAAAATCTACCCAATCATTCATTTATATATATATATATATATATATATATAGAGAGAGAGAGAGAGAGAGAGAGAGAGAGAGAGAGAGAGAGAGAGAGAGAGAGAGAGAGAGAGAGAGAGAGAGAGAGAGAGAGAGAGAGAGAGAGAGAGAGGTAATATGTGGGGACAGGGTAACTTGGAGAAAAGAGAACAGGAACGTTAAATTATCAAGGACTGAATGCAGGTAATGAACACCACTTATGGAAAAGGATATTAAACTAATGGCTTTTCTAGTTCTAATTCTGTCAAATTTTTTTGAAGTTTGGGGGGTGGATAAGCAATCAAAATATATTTGATTGTGAAATATGAAATCCCATGTGAGGCTCCAGAGCTTGTGCGCCCTGTGACGACTCTACCTGTATGAGTTTTATGGTCTTTGGGTCTGCGTATTGCAGTGTGTAATTTTATTGTTGACTGTTCACAGAATTGATCACAATAAAAATTTTACAAATAATTAGAAGCAAGACATTAAAAGCTCTTAATCTATGAAAGTATAACATATTTAGATAGAGAGTGGAGATGACCACTGACCTGTGACATATTTTCCGGAGAAATAGCCATTTCTTCCTGTTTCTCTTCTTTGAGATTCTCTTTCAAGGACACTGAACATATGGCTCACTTCCCTATAAAATAAAGGGTCAGAATGTACAAGTAATACTGAAACCTGTTAGAGAACAATGTCAAACCACGCGAAAAGACCCAAGAAAAAGAATATGATCCTAAAGACAGGAGAGTACGGAAAGACATTTGAAGCTTGAAGAGAAAAATCATCATCAAGCATCTTGTTGAAGAAAGAACACCTTAAAAGTGATGGAGACCAAGCTAGTCACCAACAACACAACTGCTTTCACTAGAGCAGCACTGCAGATATAAATTAGAGGCAAAACATACACAGGAGAGTCCAAGGAATCATCCATGAGAACAAGGGAAATAATAAGTTTCATGGGAAGAGTAGATAAATACAGGAGAACTGGAAAGTAATCGCCCATGAACAATACAGCAAACCACTATTTCTCAAAAAGAAGGAAGAATACTAGCAGTAATCCAACCAGGAACAACAGAAAAACAAAACCATAGGAAATAAAAAAGCCATAAACAAAACAAACAAACAGACAAACAAAAAACTAGCCAAACTGAAAATCAAAGTAGAGAATTCTTGATTAAATAAACAAACCCTCAAGTTAAATAAATTCAGCATCTGGCCCAGCTGTTCCATTCCATGACATTCGCTCAAGGGACTTGACATCCTATTTCACAGATGCTTGCTCCCCATGTTCACTGCTGCTCTGCTCACAAGAGCTGCAAAATGGAAACAACCTAATGTACTTCAACTGACAAATGGATCGTGAAAGTATGGTACATATATACTATGGAATACTACTCAGCTGTAAAGAAAACTGACATCATGAACTTTGCAGGGAAACAGATGGACTTGGAAAAGATAATACTGAGTGAGGTAACCCAGACCCACAAAGACATCATTGCATGTACTTTCTCATAGGAACTTCCTAGCTCCAAATCTTCAGATGTCATTACACAACCTTGAGTGAGTCTAGTAACCAGAAAACTAAAAGGAGTCCAGAGTGGTGTGTGGGGTGAGTAATAGAGACAGGAGTAACAGGACACAAGTGATCTCAAGGGGTAAATGGAAAACCAGAGGAGAGGATTTAATTACTGAGAATGGACACAGGAAAACACAATGAAGGTAAAATAACAGTAAGTATATCTAGAAAATTCATAAAGAACCAATCTATTCCTTGACTATTATCCATCAACTCAAAAATGCCTGTGATACATATACATTTAGAGTGTAAATGAAAACTTCCCAACTACACTGATGATGTTCCTCACGAGAGCCATAGAATTCCTAACAAAACAACAACACCAGGAGCAAGAAGCCTGCTTTGAAGTTGCAGATCACAGTTGTCCAACAGACTTCCAAACATTACAGGGTATTGTTGCCCAAGGTTGACTCCTAGAGGCTTTACTTCAGTCCCTCGTGTTGAAGAAGCCACACACTTAACAAACAAATCCTAGAAGACACCAGATGGAACTGGCCGTAAAGGCTCCTTCCTGGGGACTAATTTTAATGGTACCAGAGGGCAACATGCAAGGTTCCAACGGAGGAAACCAGCCAACAGTCCTACCCAGCTATGACACCTATGAATCACAACAGAGATGACCCTAAGGGTACAAGAGGGGCACACATACTTTGGTGGTGACCGACAACTTGTAATTGGATTTAGACACTCTCAACCAGAGGGGAAAACTTGACTGGTACTGGAAAACTAGCCAGTTACCCCGGGGCTAGGAAACACATGGATCCTGGAGGAGAGCCTAAAACCACTGCTTTCCTAAGTCATTGTAAGTCCTTACTTCATTCTAAATATTTCTCCTAATTTCTAACAGACAATAGGAGATGGTACAGCTGCAGTGTATACTACAGTAGGCTGTAATTATACTTTCTGATTCTTACCAAAACTCTGTTACCATTGTTTTCAGGAATGGAGACAAAAACACTGAAGGTGGAGAATGTGCTAGAATACTAAAGGTCCAAAATTCTGAAAACTGATAAATAAGCCTAAAGGTATTAATTTCCATCATTTTATAGTATGATTAAATAATGGTATGAATAAGGAAAACAGCACTCACATGTATAGACAAATAAAATTTTTATGACTCCATTATCAATTTTTCTGAAAAATTCTTCTCATGCCTACATTAGGATAATCCTGAGGTTTTCCTAGTGGGAGTCTCGACTGTTATTTCTAGTGAAACAGAATCTGGCAAAACTGATTTCTTGTTCCACTTCTACATCACCTGACCCCTTCCTCTCCTTCGCCAACCCCTCCCCCACACCTGCATCCTTAGCATCTGTCTCCTCTCTCCTTCCAGCCCCCTTTGTTCTGCTGCACAGGTGGGCAGGTCTGGGTGAACAGTGAACCCTGCACATGAGAATGAGATTGTTCAGGAAGCCCCTGGGTTTCTCTTTAGATGAAGAAAACACTAAATACAGTATTATACCAATGATTCCCTAACTGTCCTGCAGTGTCAGAATACTGAAAACAATTAGAAATCATTTTTAGTCATGTTAACTTGAATCCCACGTCCAATCACAGCTCAGTCAAAACTCGGGGGCAGAAATGGTACTGAATGATTGGGAAGAGAGTTTCATACACTGTTGAATTGATCATGAACCAATAATGATGAATCCTTACACCTCCCAAAGGGACACAGAAAAAGAGAGAAAAAATTCACGAAAATTTTCTTTTTCCTTTGATGATTTTACTATATTCTGAGGTATGTGAGACTCATAAACTGAAAGCTCACACACTTGCAGATTAGTTTGTCAAGAAATACTGCAGAGGATCAAGGGAGACAGCAAGCAAACAATTTGTAGCCACAAAAACCATTGTGGTGCAATTCTGCAACATCCAGTCCCAGTACGAAGCCCTCAGGGCAGGTCCAGACATTCCCACTCCTCCTGGGAGAAGGCCACAGTCACACCACTGGCTGTCAAGAGACCACGAAATAAAACACAACAGTTTGACTCACCCTGTTGCTGCACACCTTGAATCCTAGTACTTGGAAGAAACAGGGGGAAGGAACACACCTGTCCAGCTTGGTCTATGTGGTGAGTTTGGCACAGACAGAGCAACACTGTGAGTTCAGGTCTCAAACACAGAAAACAACAGAACCATAAATAACATTTTGGTCATGTGTCCATGGACAGAGTGATTTTCTTGGACTAAGGAAACAAAAGACTATTGATGACATTTTTTTCCTGATATACATGAGTTATTGTAATTATTCAAAAGAAGCTTTACAATATTATCCTATACTATAATGCATTTACATTTCTTTTTCGTTTCTATTTTTCCATGAATCGGCTTTTCTGCATAGTGCTGGCTGTCCTGGAAGTCAGTGTGGACACCTTGCCAGCCTCCAACTGATCCAACTTCGATCCACTTGCCTCAGCCTTCTGAGTATTGGGATTAAAGACGTGGGTACCAGGCCTGGCAAATACACTGTTTGAAGCGCTGTATTTACATCCCGCTGTGCATATGTCTCAGATGGAAAATTAACCTTGCATAAAAGCATACTTTTAAAAGTTAATGTTTACAAAGTATACTGTGGAAATTGCACAACAAAAAACTTTCAGATTCAAAGAAATTTTCAGGCTTTCGTTGACTATAATCTAAAAGCTCTCTGCGAATCCAAGTCTCCATGTAAATGTGCCACTATCTTGGATATGGACGTGTATAACATGGAAATTAGTATGGATGATTGAAAATTTCAAGAAATTTGTCGTTTCCATCATAGCAAAGAGAATCGTGATTGCAAATCTGAACAGATAAATTCTAATATTTTACTCAATTATTCTGATAAGAATATTTATTTCAGTAGCAGAAGATAATGGGCGAAAAAAAAGCCACGATTCTCGAATTATTACGAAGGGAAGACATCCACAGCAGAATTTGGGAGCCGGCTTCCCGATGAAGAGCAGAGAAACCGCTCGCACCCTGTCCCCTCCCTCCCGGGTCCCAGCCCCGCGGCTCCTCTGACCTGGGAGGTTCCAGGGCCGCCGGGCTGCGGTTCCCGCCACTGTGCTGCTGCTGACGCTGACTTTCCCAGGCCGCCCGCCCCGCGCGGACACTGCGGCTCCGGAGTCTCCAGGTCCCCGCGGCGCCCGCCGTGTCCCCCGCACTCCGGTCTGCAGCGGCTCCCACCGTGCAGGTCCCCGAGCAACGACAAGGAATGGTCACTTGTCACTGCTGGCCTCTGTTCATGTCCAAATTCCAAGCGTTCTCTTTGTGTCCCAGCGTCTGTTTACATCACTCCTCTAAACCCTCCCACGCTCCACTCTTCCATAAACCCAGCCAATGGCCACATCCTTCCAGCTCCTGTTTCCGCTTAACTGAACTCTCCCTCCCCCTGCATCTCCAGCTGCCTTCCCCAAGGCTGCAGCTGTCAGGCTGCCTTGGACCCTCTCTGCACAGACTCCACACACGCTTGCTGCAGCCTAGACCAGAGCTGCCCCATCCTGGGTTCTGAAACCTTCAGAGAAAAGACAGGCAGCCTAACCTCGTCTTCACTACCAGACTCCAGGGTTACATACTTACACCAAATGATAACAGGCTAAATTCAGATGCCAGCGGCCCATCGCCAACACAAACATGACAATCCAAAACCAAATACTGAAGTTTTGCCTTGGGGAGGGACATTTCTGGAACTTGGATTTTGAAAACAAACAGGTGTCTCAAGAAGTCAGTATTCAAACTATTTCGAACAGCCCTGGGATGAGTTCATCCCTTGCTGTATGGCTCTCACCTCTACATGGTGGTCTTGTTATTTTACTAACTCAATCAAGTTTTTTTCTGTGACTACTGCTAAAGATACTTTTACATAAAATACAGAGAAAAAAATTAATGCAGTGGTGAATTCAGAGACTGTTGGCTGTCCCAGAAGCATAAAATAAGTAAGGTGTGTGGTCCCAACACTAAAAGGGTCAGTTATAACATCCCATCTATGATTCCAGGAACACTGAGGAAGAGGAGGAGGAAAGGGAGAGAGTAAGAAGGGAGGAGGACGGGCTCAGACATGTCACTCTGTAGACTCCACACAGCTGTTGTGATCAGTAACCAACAGCAACGGTACTGACCTGCACTGACCTCACACTAGAACACAGTCAGTCTAGGAAAGGGAAAGGCTCACAGGGCCCCACCCTTAACTCTCAAATGTTGTCTATGGATGGATTGTAGGAGGAGAATCACTGCCTTTAGCTGCAGTCCTCTGCTGAGCCCAGCAGGCTCCAACACATATGTCCAATCCCACAGTCTCATAGATGACTCTGGATAATTTCAGTGGGTCCCAAGCAAAGTGAATGAAGATGAACAAATCGGGATTGTTGGAATTTGTGTGTGTGTGTGTGTGTGTGAGAGAGAGAGAGAGAGAGAGAGAGAGAGAGAGAGAGAGAGAGAGATTTGAGAAAGTGAGAGTGTATAATAGAAAAAATTTAAATGAGCAAGTCAGTCTGTAATTTTAATTTACTTGTATCATTATCTGGTAAACATCAGAAAATACTAAGAGCCAGGAAGTTTTCTTTTTTCTGTCTATTATTTTATGTAGTTTTGCTGTACTTCTTTGAGGTTCTGAGAGATTCCTGTCAATATGGTCATGAGGTTCTTTGGGGTGGTGGTATATTATTTCTGCTTCAGTCTGATTGCCACTGTGTTTACATGTTTATCTCATGATGTTTAAGTTTTATATGTGAAGTAGAACTGGAAACTCACATGTTTCATTTAGATTTTTCAATTATGTGGATTATAGTTCTTTAATATCAGTAGAAGTAAGACCTGCTTGTTTACTCATGTCTATCAAGTAGGTCATACAGTTACATTCAGTAACTGTCATGACATGATAACAAAAAGTTATGTATAGTTTTATGCAACATTTAAAACCAGTTCAAGGCCCGCCTGGTTTACACAGTGAATCAGTGAGTCTAGGACAAGTGGCAATATGCAGTGAGTCCCTGTCTCACATCAATGAAAACTCCTCTCTGAAGGATAGCTTTCCTGGTACCATATACAGCACACAAGCTTCCAAAGGTGGAAGGCAATGAGCAGTCTTATCCAGCTAGGATGCCAAGGAACTACATCAACGATCATCATGGTACAATAACCCTGAGTGTAGTAGTAGCAAGCAGACCTTAGTGGTAATCAACAGCTCTATAATTCTCTTAACAAAAGAGAAGCCATGAATAGTACTGGAAACATGGCTAACTACTCAGTGCTGGTGAACTCATGAATCTTGGAGGATAACCAACAACCACCACTTTACTAAAAGAGAAAAATCCCTCACAAAATGTAAACATTTTCCTCATACAAATAGGGTATCTTCACCTGTCATCAAGGAACTTCTCTATGCAACAGATAGACCACTCCAGATAACTACAACCGAGCAAAATGCAGTTGTGGATGCCAGAACCAATGGATACATATAAAATACACCTGAATACAAGGGTGAAAGAAAATTTTTGAAGGTGGAGGTATAAAGATTTTAACAACCAGAGGGTCCAGGAGTTTGCTGTGAGATTGTGTCTCCTATTGTATTAGTATTAGTCAGGGTTGTCTAGAGTAACAGAACTGATAGAATGAATCCCTCTCTCTCTCTCTCTCTCTATATATATATATATATATATATACATATATATATGAAGAGACAGAAGGTTGAGACTCCTAAGTTATGAGACACAGGGCTGCAGAGTTAATATATCCTTGACATAAAAAGGTATAATGCTGACATTGGCAACTGAAAGCAGATGGGTATACTGGTTCTTATGGACAGATACTGAGAAAAAGGCATTTGATAGGCCATTAGCTGCTTATCATGTAGCAGATGTGTTAATTTGCTCAGTAAAGAGCACCACATCTGGTAGAACACCTACAATTGGAGTCATTACCTCACTGAATTCTTAAGAGTCAACTGTCATTCTCCATGACCAGTCTGTCTTCTTCACTAAGCAGATAGAAGTTTTAATCCTGCAAATTCCAAGTGCTTGATGATAACACTGATATCTGAAATTGATCCAGGGGTGTGATATTGGTTTTGGTTCACTATTTTATATGGAGAGGCAACTCTAAAGGCTCCTATTTATCCTTTCCAGCCATAGATGCTCTCACTCCACAGGTCAGGAAACCAATGTGAGAATTCTGCTAATTTCTAAGTATGTCTAACCCAATTATACATTCTAGCACTGGCGAAATAACTACGGGAGAGTTCAGGGACCCACTGTACCTACTGAGAGTCAGACTAGAGCCAAACCTTCATAAATCACCTGGACTTCATTAGCCCCTACTTTACCCAGAGGGACACAATATTTTTTGGGATCTCCCGGAATCACTGTCAATTCAGAGCCAGTATATGACACACCACAGAAAGTAATATTGTTTGCCTTATCGACTGTAAGTTCACTTGTGAAAGCCTTTAGGTCTCTCTGGAGATGGATTGGATAGGACTAACACTAAAACATTTGTTATGTTATAAAGGTCCTTCCTCCATGAAACACAGTTATCCCTTTAAGGGGTTCTAGGTTTATAATCTGGTCTGAAATATATCCGGTGAACTAGATTGCCTTTTGCTACAAACCAGTGTAAACTTCCTTTCATTTTTTTAAAGACTGCTTCTGCTTATAGAGGTAAAACAAAATTCACTGGGCTTCTTCTCCATCTTAAGCCTGGAAACACCATGAGTGGCTAGCCAGTACCACAGGTCCATAAGAGTCATAAAATTCACTTGCTTGTGGTGACCATTAGGATTATGCCATTATACATATTGTTTACCTATGTTGTCCATTATGATAAACACTATCACATTTCTTATGGTTATTGATTCAGTGCTGTCACATGGCCCTTGATAACTCAGGGCTCAATTAGAGTCAGACATTTAATTCATCCAACAGAGCAGCAGCATCTCCAAACCTATGGTCTGAAACAAAACAAGGCCAAGGGGACAAAAAAAAAAACACTTTAAGCAGACCCCAGCAACTGGCCACCAGATTAGAGACCTGTGGGCAAGCTGCTCCACCAACACAGCCATCCAGTGGGCACAAGACCCACTCTGCAACCCAAAAACCACCCACCCCAGCATCCTCTCCATGGACATCCCTCTCCCATGACATCATCAGACCCTGCAGGCATAAACACTGTGCACATAAGTTGGAAGAACAGGTGGGTAACTGGTCAGCCAGTTGAGCTGCCACAACTCCAGGCCTTAAGCCCCAGGGCACATCTCCTACCATCTAAGCCTAAGAAAGATAGCTGGCTCTCAACCCCAAATCTGGTGAAAACCCACTGCTCTGTTGCAGACCCCAGCAACTGACCAACAGGAGAGAGACCTGTGGGCATGTCACAAAGGCATACCTTCCACCCCCTGGACTATTCCCACAAGAACCACTCACCTCCCAAACCCACCAACCTGTCTTCCTCCCCTTGGCCAATAATCCTCCCCAAACATCAGCAGCCCCTTGAGGCAGAAGCAAACTGAAAGAACAAAACCCATCAGCTGTCCAGCAGGTGACAAACCTGCAGGCAGCCACACCACCACTGTTGCCACCTACTGGACTCTGTTCCCACAGAGCCCACTCTGACAACCGACCACAGCCACACCTACCCCAGAATTCTCTTGGTGGATAGTCCTCTCTTGCAACATCAACAGACCCTTTAGTCACTAGTTCCACTCATACCAATTCGAAGACTAGCAGTCACTATAGGTACAAGTGCTATCTATATCGCTTTGAAGAAAGGTTGGGTAAATGCCTGGGTAAGGAAATACTCAATAAAATAAAGAGCAATATGGCACTACTGGAGCCCACTGATAACACAACAGCAAGATCTGAACACACAAATACAGATGTAGCAGGGGAAAATGACCTTTAAATTAACTTCTTGAAAATGATAGAAGCTCTTAAAGAGGACATGGAAAATCCCCATAAAGAAATTAAGGGAATGAAAAACAAAAATTGGAAGAAAGCAAC